TTTTTTTTTTTTTTTTTTTTTTTTTTTTTTTTTTTTTTTTTTTTTTTTTTTTTTGTTTGTTTGTTTGTTTTGGTAATGAGAAGTATATGACTTTTTTTTTTTTCATTTCCCACCCCCAACAAAAATGGTTGCAGGAAGCTGATTTATCAAGAAGTCTCTTAGAGAAAAAACAAGAAGAATTAGATCATATGGAAGAAAACCTTCGTGGGAGAGAAAGGGTAAGTTGATATGCAACCCGCACTTGTATGTATTGTACCAAAATATGTCTTGTTTGCATGGATGCAGGTATAGTCTAAAAGTGATTGAGTAGGAGAAGAAAAAGAAAAATTGTATTAGTTTTCCCTGGTAGCAGACTAGAAGTTTTACTCTTAAAGTCATAGGGTTTGTGATGACTGTTTTCTTGAAATTTTATTACTTGTAGCATGTTTCATGTTATTTCATTGTGATGCATTTGTGCTTATCATGATGGCTGAGGTTCGTTGATATGATATTGATAAATGAGGATAAGATGCGTGGGTGATGCTTATCCTGGCGTTATTTTCTCTCTTGATTCTCATATATCTTTCTTTGTTTAATAGATTGTTTCCGCCCATATTATTTCCTTTTCAAATTTTTATTCAAGGTTGATCATTGATGTTTAGTGCCATGCTATTAAAGTGTCAGCACCATACAAAAAAAGAATACTTTCGAGTATTGGAAGAAAGATATGGTAAATGAATGTCGTAGAATAATGTAATATAGTTCTTTATGTGTCTTATATTTGTCTTCTTGATGTCCTTTTCAGATGGAAACCCAGCAGCTGCTTCATGAACAAAGTGCTCTTCTACAGAAGAAGAGAGAAGAGTTTGAGTTGCAATTGGAAGAAAAAAGGCATTCTGTGGAAAATGAAGGTAGTATCACGTTAGGAGCAATCAAAAGGAAAGATATTGAAATTAATCATAAGAAAGAAAAGTTAGTGAAGCAAGAACAAGCTTTGGATAAAAAATTGCATAGAACAAAGGAGAAAGAGGGTGATCTTGAACGAAAGTTAAAGGCTTTGAAGGCAAAAGATAAGATTTTGAAAGCTGATGAGAGAAAGCACGAGGTGGAAAGGTTGCAAATGCTAGCTGATAGAGATAGCTTACAGTCTCTCATTGATGAGATTGAGAAAATCAGGACTGCAAGTACGCAGAAGGAGTGGCAATTTCACGAGGAGAGGGAGAAATTGCAGGTGATAAAAGAAGAGAGATCAGAGCATGTTCGTTTACAATGTCAATTGATGCAGGAAATTGAGAGTTACAGACTTCAGAACAAAATAGTTACGAAAGAACATGATGATCTGAAGCAGGAAAGGGTCAAGTTTGAAAGAGATTGGGAAGCCTTAGATGAGAAAAGGACTGAAATACATAATGGACTTGGAGATCTTGAGGAGTTGAGGAAGAAATTAGAGATCTTAAGGACAGAGGAGGAAAGGTTGAGAAATGAGAAAACTGAGATGCTAATTTATATGCAGAGAGAGTTGGATAATGTCAAGCAAGAAAAAGAATTATTTGCCTCAACTACAAGGCATGAGCAGCAAGCCTTGTCTCAGCAGGCCCAAAATAAGCATAACCAATTACTTCAAGATATAGAGTTGCAGAGAAAAGATCTTGAGAGTCACTTGCAGAAGAGCCAGGAGGAACTAGAGAAAAGACGGCAGGAAAGGGAGCTAGCATTTGAAGAGGAGAGAAAGAGAGAACGAAATGAAATTTTGTACTTGAAAGACATTGCTCTGAAGGAAAAGGAAGAGTTATCATCTGAGAGGCATCAATTGGAAAAGGAAAAGGAGGTTGTTACCATGAATAGGAAGGAATTGATAGCAGACCATCTTGAAATTCATCAAGATATAGACAAACTCAACGTATTAAGTAAGGAGCTGAAATGTCAGAGAGAACAGCTTATTCAAGATAGGATTTGCTTTTTGGCTTTTGTTGATAAGCTTAAGAGTTGTGAGAATTGTGGCGTCTCCATTAAGGAATTTATGGTTCCTGACCTCCAAATGCCTGCAGACATCAGAGAACCGGACCTTCTAGCAAATCTAGATGTAGAATCTTTAAAACTTTTCCAGAAAGAATTAGCTGCTTCCGAGTTCGATTCAGACTCTGGAGGCCGCATGTCTTGGCTCAGAAGATGCAGCAGAAAGATTTTAAATCTGTCTCCTATCAAGAGAATTGGACAAGTAGTTCCTCCCGTTTCCATGAAGTTGGCTGCAGATTGTACTGATTTAGAAGCTAAGGAGCCTAGCGTTAGTGCTGGCGATGTGAAAAGATTTTCATTTAGTGATAACATCAGAGTGGCTGAAGATAGACATGCGCACACATTTGATGATTTTGGCAACGTAGACAGCAAGTTTGAAGAAGCTTCAGAAGGTTCCAAACAACCTGACCTAAAGAGAGAGAAGCAGAAACGTGAGAAAGGACTCAATTCCAGGCATAGAACACACTCGATGAAAGCAACTGTTCAAGATGCAAAATTGTTTCTTGGAGAAACTGTGGGACAATCGGATCTTAATGTACTTGTACAGAAAAGTGATTCCAAATTTTCAAATAAAGAAACTACCAATGTTAGGAAACGGCCACGGGCAGAATCCTCCACAATTTCTGTTAGTGAGCAGGATGGAGATGATAGTGAACGATGTTCTGATAGCATCACAACAGGTAGGCAACGTAAAAGGCAGCAAAAGATTGCTTCGGTGCAGGCACAAGGAGAAAGCCGATATAATCTGAGGCGACCCAAAATGTTAGTTTCCCATGACTGAATTTTGCCGACTCTATTTAGTCATGTGTTGTTTGATATAAGTATATTGCATGAAAAAACTTTGCAGTTAAGGTGTGTGTTACTTACATATTCATTGTGACCTCTTTCTTGAACGACCCCACTTTTTGTCTTCTCAATTTGTGACTCTACATCCCTTAATCAATTAGGAAATTAATTTTGAGTTATTAAATTTATTTCCTGTTAATTGCATATCTTATAAGAACAAAATTCTTTTGCTGTGCATTTGCTTTTCTTATCATTGACATCTGGCAATGCTTCCTGTTAATTTCATGCTGTTAACTTGGTCCTTGATCACTACATAAATAAAGAGATGTCAACATACGAACTTGAGTAATAGTCTAGAGAGGCGGAAACTGAAGCTTCCGGGATTAACTCTGCTTGAATACTCCAAATTTAGAAATTAAGAACTCTCCCCCTACGTCCTCGCCTTCACATCTTTGCTTATTCCCAATTCAAATTCCTCACGTGTCCGACTTCAGTTGTGCCTTTTGTTTTGCTTTGTATGATTTTCCCCGTCTTGTATGCAGGTATGCATTCATGCATATCTTGCATTGTAACCCAAACCTGTTTGTGTTTACAATGGGTTTTGATTGAATAGTGAATTTGAATTGATCTTGCTCTGACTCGAATTATTTTTGGTGGGATAGGCAAGTATAATGTGACATAGGGTACTGATCCAACATTTCTCTTTTCGAATCTGATCTGCATAGCTTCACCTGAATAATGTGCTGATTCAACATCTTTTTGTAATGTAAAATTCATAGTGAAAGCTTATTTAGGACGCTTACTTCGATGTTCTGTTCTATCCTCTTGTATAAGTGCTTTCATGTGCGTTTCTTGGTCAAGTACTTGGGCGTTCAACAAGGCACTCGGGGGCATTTTGATTTCTTTTTCTTGTTCTTTTTCATCTGTACTTTTGTTTTACTCCTGTACATGATAGATTTGAGTACAATCTCTTTACCGATCGCTTCTACCTCTATATGCACCTTAATCTAGGAAGTTTTGTGCAGTGGTGGCACAGCTAGTGCAACTGAGGTTTCAGGAAACCTGACAACAGGTATGGAGAAAGAAAAGGATGCAACCATGACAGCGAAAGTGGAACCAAGTGGGGAAGCTTTTGTTACCTCTTCGTTGAGAAGTGTCGATGGTGAGAACATAAAAAAAGCAGACTATGTGCAGCTTACAACAGTCAGAACCATCTATCGATCGGAGGATAGAGTAGTTCAGGTAAAAAAATTTGTTTGCTATTTTAATTTACAAGATTTTCTTGTTCTCAGTTATTTTGAATTATTTCTGGGGTGATTATTATACAGTTTGAATCGCTGAGAAATCCTGAAGATAATGCTTCTATGGAGAAGTTGGTTGGTATGGATGATTTGTGCGATGAAGTGAATGATACGTCGGAATATGAAGATGAAGATGGAAACATGATCGATGACGCAGAAGACGAGTACGATGAAGAGCAGCCTGATGCAAAATCGATTGGAAAGAAGATCTGGACCTTCTTCACAACTTGAGAAGAGGATTTTTCATTCCCAAACTTGTCAATATTATCATTTGCGGAACTTTTAGCATTCAACTTAGAGTAGCATTTTGAGCTCTTCTTCTGTCGCTATTTTGTATTTTGATTTTAGCTCCCAATCGTTACTTGTAATCTTTAGATTTTAAGGTAATCACCGAGCAAGCCCTTTTTATGGGGGGAAAGGGAGGATTTCAACTTCCTCCGGTTCACTTTTACGCTAAATAAATTCTTAATTCATCAAATTTTACTTATCAATGGAAGGTAAATCCTTGGTTTTATTATTATTATTATTATTATCTTTTACTAATTATGTCAAATCCATTATCATTTGGGTTGAAGATATGTGATGTATTTTCCAATTTTGATTTGGCATCTCCCTTCGACCCATCTCAATTTCAATCGATAGTGACACAAATTTGAGTTCCTCGTCAACTTTTTAAGGTTGCAAGCTTACAAGCTACACGTAAATTATGCGAAGTGATTTGATGAGTCTAGATATATATAAGATGAGTTGATGAGTGAGGCTGAACATTTGTTTGGTGGGATGGAATGATGTTTGCGGGTGTATGGTCTGAGTTGGATTGGGTTGAGAGATTTTTGATGATGTTTGTGGGTGTATGGTCTGAGTTGGTTTGTTTGAGATTTTTGATGATGTTTGTGGGTGTATGGTCTGAGTTGGTTTGTTTGGTGGGATGGGATAATGTTTGTGAGTGTATGGTCTGAGTAATGTTTGTGAGTGTATGGTCTGAGTTGGATTGGGTTGAGAGATTTTTTTTACCATCCAACCCAATAGTTTAAAAAAATAAAAAATAAAATAATCAAAATAAAGATAATACAAATAAATTTTAAAAATAAAAAATAATAAAAATAATTAGTTTAAAAAAACAAACTATACATATAAAAAAAATACAAATAAATTATGAAAATAAAAAATAATAAAAATGATTAGTTAACTGCACCTATAAAAAAAAATAATAAAAATGATTAGTTAACTATACCTATAAAAAAAAATATTATAAAAAAAATATTATAAAAAAAATATGAATTCGACAGAAGTCGACCATGGGTACAGAGTACTGAGCCATAACAACCACTCTGCCAGACCCATGAATACGGTTCACTTCTCAATGTTTACACCTTTTATTTCATTTAGGTCCAACCCGAGTTTTCTTGTTCTATGAACCGAAACCGAACCGATTCCTGATTGTTTAGTTATTTATTCCCGACTGAATTGAACAGAAACGGTGGAACTACGGTTTCTGTAGAACTTGTGGGAGCATCTCAATTCTTTTGTGTTTGTTTTCAATTCATTACACACCGCCCACCGCCGCCGTTGGGGTCTCTGAACGACCGATTCCATAATATTGCAGCGGCTGCGGACACTGGGGACATGGACGATTGGAGGAAGTTTAAGAAGGCGGGGTTGTTGGACGCGGCTGCAATGGAGCGCAAGGATTGGGAGGCGCTTCTTCAGAATGCTTCAAGGCTTCAGAGCGAGGTTAGCAATTATCATCAACTCTTACTTCTTTTCTATCTTCGGATTAATTGGGGTTGAACTGTAACGTTATGGCATATGCATTTATGTGATACACTGGACTACAAGTTTTGGCCCTGCTAAAAGCTAGCTTCTATTGTTACTCAGGTTGGTTCATGTTTAGCAAATAAGAGAAGAAATCAAGCCTAGCACAAATTTAAGCCTGGTTAATGCACAATATCAAGAAAAACCATTGAATATGCCTTTCAAAACTCACAAATTCATGTTGCAACAGTCAACAAATGCCAAACTCATCCACTAATTTTAATGAATAGTATAGTGAACATCTCTCCAAACTTAATAATTCAACAAAAATCAAGCCTAGCATAAACTTAAGCCCGCTAATGCACAAGATCGAGAAAAACCATTGAATATGCCTTTCAAAACTCACAAATTCAACAAACCCAGCTCTAGTATTGTTTTTCTTTGAAGAGCTTCATTAATTTTATAGTAGACTTCTGTTTTATATTTATTAAATGTACATAAGAATATTTTCATTGAAAATTTTGAATTCTATCATAGGGAAAGACTTTCAATGCTTATTTAGGGTTAAGATAGCGATGCTTATCAAAAGTTTGAGGTGCATTTTGATGAAATTAAAAGTTCAGGGTATAAATTGTTTCTTTCCCTTAAAATTTTAAAATAGTTTTGGCAAATTTAGGCAATCATGGGGTGAAATATTGAATTCCAATGTATAGAAAAATAGGTACTCTTGTGATTTTTTTGAGCAATTATACTTATGTTGGTAGGTTTAATCAGGTTGGAACTTCATACCTAGGAAGCTGAGATACTGTTTCCATTTAGATGAAGGGAGAAAAAATGTTTTTTTTTTTTTGCCTTTTGTTTTGTCTTTTTAATGTAATAGATGTATGCATTATAATGTTGATGTGTTTAGCACAATCATCCTACAAGATGGGAATAAATGACTTCATTGTTTGTCATTCTTTTGGTATAGTTCCTGTCATCAGAACTTATATTGCTCTTACATGGATTTATCTGATTATTATTTTTGGCAGCTTTTTGATTACCAGCACAATATGGGACTTGTTTTGCTAGAGAAGGAAGCATGTGCTTCAAAGTGTGACCAACTAGAACAAAAATTAGCAGAAACAGTGGAAATCTTCAAACGTGAACGATCAGCACATTTCATTGCATTATCTGAAGTTGAAACGAGGAGGGATAATTTGAAGAAAGCTCTAGCTGCTGAGAAGCAACATGTGTCTAGTGTATGCTACTCTTGGCACATCCATTCCCCATTAACGTATTTCTTATTTGATAATGTTGCCATTTTCCTTTCTTTTTTGTTTCTTAGATACTCAATTTGTTAGGCCACCAATCGTAAATTTGTACTAGAAAAACATGTAAGTGGTGGGGGGAGTTAAATTTTGTCAGCCCTACTGGTAATTGGGTGAGGTGACGTAGGAGAAGTTGTAACAGAGAGAGTAATGGGAGGGTAGTATCTATTCTTAAGGAGTATGTATTTGTTTAGAAGAGTCTTGTAGTATGGGAGAGAGAGGATCTTATTTTGAAATTTGGACACTAAATTGTGAAGTTATGTCTATACAAATAGATCTTAGATCTTAAAGATTGATTAAATTTTCATACCTATTCTTTCTGCAGCTTAAAAAGGCTTTATGTGAAGCAAAGGAGGAACGTGCAGAAATCGAACTTACTTCTCAGAAAAAGTTGGCTGATGCAAATGCTTTGATATATGAAATTGAGGAGAAATCTTTGGAGTTGGAGAAAAAATTGTATGCTGCCGAAGCGAAGCTTGCTGAGGTAAACAGGAAGAGTTCAGAGTTGGAAATGAGGATGCATAAAGTCGAAAGCAGACCGAGCAACTATCCTTTGTCATAAGGTATTCTTCTCAATATCCTTTTCTTTGAGCAAATGACCCATCAATCTTTGATATGTATGGATTTGGGAGAAATGCTTCTGTTTGAATAATCTTCCTGATATCAAGTAGAAAAGTGGTAGGCTTTAGGCAGAAGAGACCTGACCCTTATCCAATTCGAGGGTCAATATTGGTGAAGTGACCTTGGAAGTTTTCCCTGGTAGCAGACTAGAGGTTTTACTCTTTAAGTCATAGGGTTTGTGATGACTGTTTCTTGAAATTTTATTACTTGTAGCATGTTTCATGGTATCCTGAAGTTTGTTGATATGATATTGATAAATTGATGCTTATCCTCGCCTTATTTTCTCTCTTGATTCCATCCATATTATTTCCTGTTCAAATTTTTATTTAAGGTTGATCATTGATGTTTCAGTGTCGCGCTATTAAAGTGTCAACATTGGAAGAAAGATATGGTAAATGAATCTGGTAGAATAACGTAATATAGTTCTTTATGTGTCTTATATTTGTCCTCTTGATGTTCCTTTCAGATGGAAACCCAGCTTCATGAACAAATTCTCATGAATTGGTTTCTATTCGTCAGGGGTTTGAGCTCAGGGGGAGGAAGGGAAAGTTTGAAGGTGAAGAAAGGCGAGATATGGTCTCATATATATATATATATATATCTCCTCGGGCTTGGCTCGAGATATGAAGTTGAGGAAGATGGATTTCCAGAGAAAGAATGCTGATCCTTCCGTGCTCATAAAAAGGAAACAAGAGGAACCTACTGACCTTACTCCAAAAGTTTGTTGTTACTACGACCTTTGGTTAAAAGAGAATTTCAAAAGTTTGAAAAGTGGGTATAGATTTGGGTATTTAAGAGGGAGAATTTTGGTTGGTGCGTAAAATGACCTAACGTGTGCGATGACATTAGGAGCGATTGAAATTCAAATTTTGAATGTGCATGGAACATCAAACCATATGCATCTCACTTCTCCATTTAACTTTGAATTCTGAACTTTGGATATGGAAAAATTAGTTTTTATATTTCTACCATTTTAATTTTTTTAGTTTGGAGTGAGAAATTAAACATCTGATTTTTTTTCTGACGCCAAATTTTGAAATGAGATGGTAGGAAAAATGCTTAAAAAAATATTAAAAGAAAAAATTAAAAAATTCAGTGATTTGGGTAAGGCTGGACAAACCCCAATTACTAGGTCTCTAGACTCTCTACGCGTTCCCCCCTCTGGCGATAACCCGTTTCGTGTTTTGGGCAGACATAGGCCACAACAACCCCTGCTTCGATTCTCTCCTGCTCCTGCAACCACCACACACAACGACTCCCTTCTCCGCTTTCTCTCTTCCACACCTTTCATTCTTCCTCCGGATTCCTTCTCCCTTCTCTCCCGGCAACGGCAACGACGCCAACCACCTCTTCTTCCGGATACGACGTTAGCTTCTCTTCTGCCCTTTAATTTTCTTTTCCTTTACCCAATCCTGTTATTATAGTGTTCAAAACACGAATGGCGACGTTCAGAAGGGCTGTACTCAAAGCTCATCAAGTTCTGTACCTGAAACCCTCCTCCACCGTTTTCAGAAGCAAATCGATGCCCCTTTTGCCTACCGCTTATATATTGTTGGAGAATCTACAAGGGCGATTACCAAATCACAATCAGAATCAACATGGTTGTTTCTTTAGTTTTCGTTGCTCTTCTACGACTGTAAATCCTTTGTTCACAGATATCGATCTCTCAGATGAAGAGAGCAAGAGGCGTTTGTTCAATAGGTTCAATCTCACTTCCTTTGCATCATTTAACTTTCATCCCCCCCTTGCTTTCTTTCTCTTAATTTTTGGCAATTTTGTTTCGATTGACAAGGTTTTTTGGTTGTTGGATTCAACAGGTTGCTGTACCGGAGCAAACAACGGGGGTTTTTGGAATTGGATTTGGTACTTGGAAAATGGGTAGAAGATCACATCAATTCCTTGGATGCAGATGGTATTAGAGCTCTAATTAAAGTTCTTGACCTGGTAATCTAGTCTTATGCCCATATTTTATAGTTATTTTCTATGTTTTGTGTTCTAGCCCTAGTTAGTTTTAATCCGTAGCTGGGTGGAGGCCTTAGTGCCACATGGAATGTTTCATATTTTTTCGTCATGTATTTGCCCAAATTTTGCACCACGATTTTCTATGTCACCTTCTCATCAATGAGGGCAGATTGATAGTGATGGTGCTGGTCAATCTTCATCCCATTCTTATCCCTCCCTCGTGTGGTGCCATTCCGAGCTTGAATGTAGCTCTGAGAAATGAGACAAGAAAGAAAACAATAAAGAATCCACTTTTGTTATTATGGTGTTGATTTACACCTGCATAAAAATTTCAGGCCAAGACAAGTTCAAGGTTTTTATGAGCCACATTTGGATACAATTGTTCAAACGATGAGTCACTGAATTGCAGAAAAGCACAGCATATGATGCAAACTTGAAACGAACCGGAGGAGGATGTCTTTTGGCATATCTTTACCGCTGAAAAGATGATGACATGGCACATTGGGTTTCTCGAGCCAAATTTTTGTATAATATGGGAGGGTACTAGTGAGGAATATATTGGAAATATTAGTAAGATAATAGTAAGGGGTTAAGTGGTAATTAGTTGGATGAAGGGGGGTTTGGGTTATAAATAAAGAGGACTCGAAGTTTCTGGGAGGGTAAATCATTTTGGGGAGTGTCCATTTTGGGACTTGGGAAAGAGACAGCCCTCTGAAATATTTTCATTGATATTGCAACATAGTTATAGTTATATTTCTATTTTCTGTTGTGATCTTGTGTTCAGGTACCTAATGAATTGGTATTAGAGCACGTTCATCTTGGAGTTGAAAAATATGACTAAAAAGGGATTAGAAGAGAGGGTGGAAGCTACTGGAAGGACATTGCCGAGCTTAAAGGCATGCTGCAAACAATGGCTCAAAGGACTGAGTAGTTGGCAATGGAAATACATGAGAGTTCAAGTTCGACATGGGTGTTTGTGATGATATTGTCGAGCCCCACTAAAGTAGTAAATGCTAGAGGAATGATGAATTTAAAATCTCTATAGTACCGGAGGGAAGGGAATCTATTAAGACAAGAAGTTATTGGTGGAATCGAAGATGATGGGGAATTCATGAGGCAGATGAAGAAGAAGCCTAGTGGAACACTTGAGTAAAGGAGGGGTATGAATGACTGATACCACATCCAAAGGAGAACAATCTTGAGAATAGGATGATTAAGAAAAGCTTAAAAAACTGAAAGTAACTAAATAATTAAGCATGGTTTGCTTAGAGCAATTCTATATTGAGTGATCTACTAGGACTTTTCGTATATGTAAGTGAGGACAAAACATGTTGGAAGGACTTTTGTTAGTTTGTGGGGATAGCCTTCACTCTTAAAAGTGAGGAATAAGTAACATGACCATGTCACAGAGGATCTAAGAGAATACTAGAGCCATCATGTGTCAAATCCAGATTCCAAATCTTAATCCGATTGTTGGCTGTCTCTTGGTTAGAAAGGTGATATGGACGACTTCAAGGAAGTAAATGCCATATGAAAAGTGGAGAGAAGTGACAAGGATAGAGTCTAAAGAGTTTGGCAAGTTTATGGTCTGAGAAGTAAGAAGGTAGGCGATCAAGAAGCAATGGAGGAAAGAAGAAAGGTATAGCCGATGAGAAGGTGAGGTGGGTAACAGATGAAGAAACGATGAAGTAAGGACTTGTTAGTGGTAACCGGTGGTGGAGGAAGCAGAAGGACAAAAGATTTGCAAATAATTAAAAAAAATGAACAACCTAACGACTCGACCCAACAAAAAATAGAGGGTTGGATTAGATTGTGACGTCTATTTAGATCATTCGGATCATCATTTTTGGATTGGTCCAATAATATTTCTCAACCCAACCTTACCGCGCAGACTCCTACTCATTTCTATCCCCATGGCCAGCTATTATAGGGCCTTCATGGCACTAGTCCACTAACTATTAAAATCAAGGGTAACCGCCAATGCCTAGTGACAAAGGGAATGGTGGAGGAGATAGTTTCATTAAGTGTGAAAGTTACAACAATGGGTAGTAAAATCGAGGGGAAGGGTTTGAGTTTAGTGTTCCTTACCACCAAAATAGGTGATTTCAGTTCAGTCCATCTGCGGAAACTGGGTATTGCTGATTTCAGTTCCTCATTTTTCTTTCTTTCTTTCTTTTAAATCTATTGTAAATGATCTTGAGGACTACTTTTTTGGATGCTGCTTATTTCTTTTGCAAGTTTCTGTATGTGTTCTTCTGTTGTTCAGGAAAATCCAGATCTATGGAAGTGGTTAACCGGGCAAGAGCAACCCCCTGAAGCCGTGAAGACAAATCCTGTGAGCATCCAAATTAGTGTTTCCCTTTTTATGTTTGGACTAAAAAATATGTGATCTTAGAATTAGAGCATCTATTTGTAGGTATTTACTGATGTGCAAGAGAAGGTGATGAACAATCTCAACAAACATGCCTCACCCGAGACACGAACACCGCCTGGGCAACAATGGGTAAGGGGTTGGGATGATTTCAAGAGAGGTCGGGATGGCCCCATAACAGGAAACCAGTAGCTCTATCTTCCATTAAAGAATTTTATGTTATAATTAAGTACTAAAGTTTCTCAAACTTGTTTGTTACGAACGGTGGGCTGTGAATAAGTTTCCCATCAAGTCTGTCCCCTCTAAACCCTTGGGATCTATAGTGAAATAATGGCTGTTTTTGTTTCTTTCACATACATTCACCAAATAATTCATCATTTCCAAGTGCTTGCCACCATGGCTAGCTTGCATTTCTTTATAGTTTGTACTTGATGTAATAAGCTTTGTATTAATTTTATAGTTTGCATTAGTATTACGACCTTCAATATCGGGTCATAAACCATCCGTAGTATGAGTGAGTATAAAATATTCAATGTAGAATTATTCATGTTATGGCTACTGATTTTTCAAGATTTTTAGTTAGGTTCTACAACTCAGACCCTTGTTTAATAGTTGGACAAATTATTGGACGAATGGATTATTTATTACTAACTTATTCATTTAAGGGTTAGCTTTCAATTAATTGAGGAGGTTTGTGATAGTCATTCACTTAATGCTAAGGGAATTTAATGGGATTTAAATGACCAATTAAGGAGTTGTTGGAAGAACTGGTCTAGTCCAAGTTTGGCTTCGTGTTCAAGCTTTTGTTGCGCATTTCTTCAATTTTGGTCGGCTGATTAGATTATTATTCATACCATCATCTTTTTTAATATCAATTAATATCTATTATGAAATTCTTGAAATTCATCTAATCTAAATTATCTAAAAATCTCAAAAGCGATAAAAAAATCAACTCATCGAGAAGTTCTGAAAAGAATTATGAAATGTTTTGGAAAGATTTACCTTGATGATCAATATCAATAATAAAGAAAATTCATTTTTAAACTTGTGATTCGAATCACTTTACTAAATAATTGGATCAAGGCTACTTGAAAGACTCTAACGTCCGAATATAAACAACAACTTTTCTTTTAATCTCCAAAATCTTCGCAAGAAAGCAATAACATTAATGATTATTTATAATCTTGAAAATAAACATCAAACACTTAAGATTAATTGAAAGGTTGTAACTCTCATATCCTTTTAATACTACAATGATCACGAACTATTGACTCTAAAATTGAAAAATACTTTGAAAACTCCCTAAATCCAAATATGTATGGTACAATCTTTTATCTATTATGAAATCTTTGGACATGATTAGACACCTTATTTCTTTTAATACCATATTCATAAAACATTAAGCATTACGTTTGAATCATGAAATGTGATAGTCATACATTAAAAGATTAATAAACCATTAACAGTAATTTGTTCAACCAACATTTGGTATCAGAGTTAGGATGTCAAAATAAATGTCATCACCAAACAACATTGTCGGAGGAGATGCGAGGATGATGAAGAGCAGAAAGAAGGAGCGTATAATGCTCAAGTATCTTCTACTCACGAAGAGTAACTACGCAGCATGGATACTAAAGATGTGTGTTAAGTTACAGGCACAAGGTGTGTTGGATGTCATCGAGCACAATGACGACATCAAGGAGCAAATGTATAGGATGACTCTTCCTACCATCTACCAAGCAGTAAAAAAAGACGTCCTTCTCAAGTTGGCAGAGAAGGACTCATCCAAGGCAACGTCAGAGACATTGTGAACAATGCATATGGGAGCAAAACAGGTCAAGAAAATTAAGGTACAGACCTTGAAGAACGATTTGAGGCTATCCACAAGAAGGATGGTAAGTCAGTGGATGACTTAGCTATGAAGTTAATGATGATTTTCACTGACATTTGTTTGTTAAGCGACAAGGCAGACGAGATTTTTGTCATAAAAAAGTTCCTCCGAGATTCATGTAGATCGTTACCTCCATCGAGTAGTTCTATGACCTCGAGAACATGTCAGTTGAAGAGGTCGTCTGTTGTCTTAAGGCTCATGATGAGAGACTTTGTGGCTACGATGCTAGAGGCTAGTAGAAGTATCTCTTACTTGTACATGCAAAGTTGGTCACATTGACGAAAAAAGAAAAACACAATTGATTTTTTATTTTTCAAGTAGAAAGGGATGCGACAACTACAACATGGAAAGCATGGAAAGCAGAGTTCGTGATGTGGTCATGGCCGCAGGCCACATAGACACTATGACAATATCTCACAAAACCTATGAAAATTTCAACCTCCAAAAAGACGGGATCAGTTAAAAACACAGATTTAGTTTTATTGAAGAGATGTAATTTGAAGAGGTTTAAGTCTTATTTTATCAAATGATATTAATAAACTAAATGCCAATAATTTTTTTATGAGTTTTAGAAATTGTTTACGCAATCCAATGAATATAACCTAAGGTAAGGTGGTTGTATATTAATAAGATTTGACGTAAATTTTAACAAATACTTACATGCTCTATATATATTGATGAGAATTATAGAACTACGTAGACAAATAGAATGATAGTTATCTTGAGGTAAAATAGAAAAAAAAAACTCATCTTTAATTATAACAAATATATATTTTAATTTACGTAAATAATTCTTATCAAATAAACAGTAGGTTAGTCGGCATTGTATTCGTTAAACCTAGAAGGCTTTAATGTTCACATGTTCTAATACAGGATCATTGTAAACCTTCCAAACCCATACACCTTGATAGAAACTGATTTCGTTTTGAGACAGCTTTGAAATTCTACCTACTGGGTTAAACACATTTGTTGAGACAACTACAAAGTTATTTAGGTATACCAATTTTCCCTCATGGAGAGCCATCCCTAAAGAAGTGGGAACCATACAACTTTATGATTAGTCATTTCACGAAGAGTAGATGCTACAACTGAATCCTTACTACTTTTCTCTACCTGTCTTGTCAATTCATGGAGGCAAATTCCTGTCATGTCTCCTGATATTTTAGTTGTTGACAAGGCAAGTTAACTAAATAATAGAAGAGGAAGTGCCCATGTGAATCATTTGAACGTAAAAAAGATGCATACTAACATCAAGATATTCAAGACTACATTGCAAAAATACCAAAATTATATCCACCAAGCGTATTCTTCCTAATAAAGCATTGCTGAATGAATTGATAGGCTCTAACAAGCGTGCTATTATTATGAAAAAAGATTGCCATAACCGGCTTTACCAAAAAGTTTAGCAGTTATGTTCACAAACCAATAAAGTAAGCTACAAATGGATGAACTCTGCAAATGATGTATAGCGCAGGGAAATAAGAATTTAATGAAAAAAAGGGAACTCTTGTGATTTTCACCAGACAAATCTGTCTGACAGAGAATTACTTTGTACGTGACCTCCAAATTTCCATCTAATTTTCCTCAAATGTTCTTATTTAATGAAGGGAGTAAAAAGGGTGTGAACAAATTCTAGACAGGCGGAACCACCGTATCATTAAGCAGTTGATTCCTTCAGATAAGCAATAAGGTCGGCACGATCCTGCGGTTTCTTCAGCCCTGGGAAAACCATCTTCGTTCCGGGTATATACTGTGTGATTAATAGACATCCAAATTTTTGTTAGAACATCTATTATGCAAGTAAATGTCAAGTTCAACAGAAAAACTGATCATAAATAAATCACGTCTACAAAATTCATAGGGTTGAGAGCACTCAAAATTGACAACTTCGCATTCCTCAAAACCATAGCAAGCATAAGAGTTAAGAACACTATTAAACAAAGATTCATATGCTAAAAAACTCATACCAACAATTTGAGAAGTAACTAAATATTTATATTTCAAAATAATTATTCAAAAAGATTAAGGCCTGATAATGGTATTATTTTACTTAGATATTCCTTATCTATTACAAAAGAGAAATATTATGATATATTCAACAAAGTTTAATGTATAATTTTACTTTTAACATATTAAATGGATAATATACAGCGGTGATTCAATTAAAAGCCATGAGCCAAACATGAGTTTTCCGTTGCTATAAACAACGGTGGTGTTCCTTTCCCTTTGAGCCATAAAAGCCAAAAATAACCCACAATTCATTGATGCACAAAACCTTTTCACTTTTGAAAGAATGACCTTCAATGAACAAAGAGAAAGGACTTTAGTGTCTTTAAGGGAAGGAGGTCAAGAACCAACCACATCTGAGTAGTAGTGCCATTACAAGTTTCCAGAAAAGGGAGATTACCTAGGGACTCCGACATAGAAGACCAACCTGGTGAAATACAGCTCTAAAGACACATTTTATAAATGATGTAGCAAGAGTTGATACTTCCACTCAGAAGTTACCACCAAGATTATTTCACTTTCTTTGGAAGCTTTTGAATATCTTTCATGCCAAACTGAGAGCAGAGAAGAAATTTTTGCTCCCTTCGTAATTATGTCCATGAAATAAGAGTGGCAAAAGAAGAGACCAAATTTTCCACCAACCAAAGCCATTGAAACTTATGGGTGAACAAGGATTTCCAATAAGAGAACAGGACTCGGGACGAACCCAGCCACAAAAGGAGGACAAAAAAGATCAAAGGGGGGGAACGCAACTAATGCCCAAATGTGCAGGTTCACCATTAGGTTATGTTGAGAACAGTGTGTTTTCTATTAATGGAGACTTAAGAAGCAATTGGAGAAAATCATGAAACTCAATGTGCTAAAAAAAAATATTAACATGCTAGATTGTCTGAAGCATATTCAGATATAAGAGAGAAATTTTAAAGGTGCTTTTGATTCTAGCTTAAATCAAGATTGAAACTCCAAGTGGGGGGAGGCTTTGTTTTGACTATATTAAAGTAGAAAAGGTGCAAGATTCCATGGATAACTTTTAATTGAAGCTATTTGAAATGTTTAAAAAAAGTACTTCAATAAAGCTCCAGGGAGAAGATGGTAAAAGGTGGGACATGTTGATCGAAGAGCCCAAAATATTTCATCAGTTGTTGCTCAGTTGGACAAGTATTATGAAGAACAAGGCTACCGATAGCAAGTACAGAACATGGCAATGCTTATTTAGGTGTGTGTTCACAATTACTATCACTTACTCAGCAAGTAAGATATCTGGAAAACTGAGGGAAATAAACCAACTCTAAATCAAATGCCATACGTTAAGAAGTGTTAAGAAATAGAGAGTATCTACCTTCTTGGGGTTAAGCAAGTAATCATACAATGTCTTCTCTTCCCATATCACAGCCATATTCTTGTTGGCAGCGGAGTAAGAGTATCCAGGAGTTGTACCAGATTGCCGTCCAAATAGCCCGTTCAAATTGGGACCTGCAAGATCCAAGTGACGTTGCTAGTTTTAGTGTCGACTTAAATACTAACAAAGAAGAGCCGATTTTTACCCCATGAC